TCATCCATTTTGAAGATAATAAAATATCCCAAATTAATGATTTCGGACTCTGGATACAGCGGAAACTCACTGCAAACAGCCAAAAATATGCGCGAAACAGAGAGGCAGTATTACAGATCGGAAAAATTATAAACTATATTGTATACACCCCGAATCATACCGAAATTGAGTCGTATCTTGAGAGTGCAAAGCAACTGTTTACCTTCTCAGATTTTTATCTAAGCGAATGGCTGGTTTTGAAGACTTTTTTGAGTTGATCTTTGTTATTATTTTTACACGAGTGAATTGCAATAATACTCAAACAAAATAATTCTCATCTTCGGCAAGAATCATCGATTTGTCGGTTGGAAGTTATTGATATCATGCAACTGAAAAGAACAAGTTTCAAGCTGTATCTTGTCATCGTATGTGGTTGTCAGATCCCAGCGCCACAGCCGAATTGAAAATGGCAACTGTATACGAATGTCACCACCAGGTTTCAGAATTCGCTGGAAGGTCATTCGATCCTCCCGTTTTCTGCCGTACGTCTTTGACTTGAGATAAAAATAAAAATATTTTTGAGTCCCGTAAGCTATAACCTTTCTTTTCACGTAGCTTATAGTTCCTTTGCATCGAACTACACATCGAACACATCATAAAGTGAGGGTAAGAAAAATCATTTAGCTACAGCAGTTGAAAAGTTGAAAATTCGAAAATAGTTTTTGAGTTTGAATTCTATGTATAATGATGATGCTTCGGATATGTTTTGTATCATGTCAGTAAGAAAAGAGAATAAGAATAGGCACGAAAATGAATCGTAACTCTTTCATTAAATCATTACAAATTAAAATGAATTCGGACGATTTCTCTGGCTAGCATTTATTGTTAAATTCGACTGAAATCTCCTGTATCTTTCGTTTTCATTTTGTCCGCTTTCACATACTTGCTTTTCATTGTTGAAATTATTTAATGAACTGAACTATTTTAATTGTAACATGAATTAATAAATCATTGATCACTGTTCATGTTCTTGTGCACGTGTGTTAACATGAAAATGAGATGAATAAATCAAAATTAGATGATGTATTTAATTTCAGAAAAAGAACAAGAAAATATGCCTCATTTGAAAGAATGCGAGAGATGGTTAGATAATTCTGATTTTCTATTTTCATGCATTGGTTTTGCCATTAGTTACGGCAATATTTGGCGATTTTCGTATTTATGTTTTGAACACGAAGAAGGTAACTCAAACTAATTTTGAATCATTAATTTATTACACTTATACTCATTTGATGAGTTTTTCTTATTCCTTATTATGTCACGTTGATCTCTCGTGGAATTCCTTATGTTTTCTCGAAGTGGCTGTTGGTCAATACACAAGCATTGGTGGACTTGGTATTGGGAAAATTTGACTCCTTTTTCCACGGTGTAGCATATCAATATTCTATTGCGTTACAAGATTGTTGTAATTTGAGTGTCGACTATACAGCAGCAATAATGGCAGTTCGGAATTTTTAATCTCAAGAATTAAAGAAGCGAATAATTCGTGTGATATAGTACATCGAAGAAAGCGCAGAAAATAAAAAAATATTGAATATACGGTGACACAACATCAGCTATCGCAAACAGAATCTATTTATGATCTTCGTTTATTGTTCTAAGTGATCGTTAGGATGTGGAGTGTGGGGTGTGGATGTGTGGGTGTGCCAATGTGGGTGGGTGTGAGTGTGGATGGATGGTGTGAGTGTGGGTGGGTGTGAGTGTGGGTAGGTGGTGTGGGTGTCGGTGTCGATGTTATCCTTGTGTACAGTCTACACACCCACCCACACCCAAGGGGGAAAAAGCGAATCCTCGGATCCTTTGGATCCTCTGGATCCTTTCAGATCCTAGGATCCAAAAGGATCTGAAAGGGTCCAAAAGGATCCGAGGATCCGCTTTTTTCCCCTTGCCCACACCCACACCCGCTAGAAACAATGATTAACTCACTCATCAGTATCTATGATTAAATTTCCAGGCTTCTTGCATTCGAAACAGAGACACTACCTAAGGCTCATTTTGGCTGCAGATAGTTTCGTTGAAATGTCTAAATCCTTCGAGCTCTGAAAGTTCCATTTTTTTAATAGAAAGTCAATGAAAATTTAGTGTCTTTTCGAATGAATCACCGATTCAACATTCTATGGATTAATTCATGGAGTAGTTAATGTAAATAGTTATATATTATATGAGTGAATCCTGACTGTATAGCATTCGATTATAGGTCAACCTCCATATCAGGCAATGCATCATCTCGTATTTTATTTTAAGCGTTCCTTTTCTCATTTGATGGGTCAAAGAACAAGAGGGAACAAATTGGTTTCAAAAAATGAAAAAAAAGTCGAAATCACGAAATCAGTTTGTTGCTATTTGTGAGAAGCTAAAGAATTTTTTTGTATGCTGTAAAAGAGTTCTGACGTTACTCTAAGATTTGTACTAGATAAAGAAACGCATTTTTCATCAGATTCTTATTTCCTGGTAGGTGTTTGTCAAGCTTTTTCCTAATGTGGAAATGGTACGTCTCTGTAATAACGAAGATAAACTTTTGTCAATATTACATTTCAATATTATTGTTAACATAAATACAAAAAAAAAACAATAAATTACAGAAATTGCGAATTTTAAAAAAACTCAATACTCAGAATGGGTCTCTCAAAATATTCTTTGTCTCATTTATCCAAACTGAATCTTCTGTTTTACGACAATGCGCATTTATGATGACAGAATCAAGTCGTATCTTGTTGTAACTGTATCTCTTCCGCTCTCTACATCACTACAGAGATAAGAACGTTTTATCGAGCGAAGACATCACAAAGTGTAATTCTTCATGTTACTTCGCTTGTAAGCATATTCACACAATATACTTTTCTTATTTCAACCTTTATCGATGTTAACTCTACTACTTCCTCTGATTCTGGCTTCATTTACGATTATTCTCATCTATATTTATTTGAAACGACAGTATTCATCATCTCCCAATGATCCACCTGGTCAGAAACCTCAGATCATTTTCGGAAATCTTTTTAATTCTGGTTTATTAACGGGCCGAAAAACGGGACCTGAACTTTTCACCGAATATCAACAAGCGTATGGTGACGTATTTTTATTTTGGGTCGGTCCACAAAAAAGTCCTGTCTTCTGCCTACCTGAACATGCTCAAACCATATTCTCCGATCGACATACATTTGATCAATCTCCATTATTTATACCTAATTTCGATTTACTTTGTCCCAATGGTATTATTACGTTGAGCGGTTTGAAATGGAAACGTCATGCACGAGTGATGTTGCCGATGTTCAAACGAGCTAAAATCGTGCACTATTCAGAAACAATTCTTCACTGTACCGATCAATTTATCGACAAACATCTAGATGATAATCATATATACAAAGATTTGACACTTCGATGTCAATCATTATTGATGAATATTATTGCATTCATTGCATTCGATCATGATCTCGAAGCTCAAATCGATTCATCGTGCGCACGTGCTCTTCAGGATTTCGTATACTATGCAAGTCAGTTTATGATAGCAGCATGGCTACCACGATGGCTAGGTAAATTATATTTAAAATTGAATTGGAAATATCAACGTGCACATAGAATTCTTCGTGAATTATCCGAACAAATTGTTGAACAAGAACAAAATAAACATAATGATTGTGAAAGTCAACGACCAAAAAATTTAATTGCATCTCTTGTTTCATCACTCAATGAACAAGCGAATGACCAACAAATATCATCCGGTCTGACTCAGGCAGAAATATTTGATGAAGTTCTCATGGCCATCACAGCCGGTACCGAAACAACGGCAAAAGCACTCTCATGGTTCATGTTCTATATGAGCAAACATCCTCGCGTTCAACAAAAAATTAAACAAGAACTCAAAGAACATGATCTTGCCGTGGGAGACAATGCACATTCATCATCACTGAGTATGGAAACACTCGATTCACTTGTTTACTGCGATTGTGTCACGAAAGAGGTTTGCTTGTCTATCTTGTTATCGACTGCTATTCTGAAATTTTTTTCTTCAGGTCCTTCGATTAGCACCTGTGGCCGGTCTTACAGCACGTAGAGCCACACGTGATACAGTAGTCGACGATATATCGATTCATCGTGGTCAAGATCTCTATATTGCTCTCTACAACATGAACAAGGATCCACGCTATTGGCATCATGGTGATCCAACTGAATTTATTCCTGAACGATTCTTGTTCGAAGATAAAAATCATCATCCCTATGCAATGGTTACTTTTGGTGGCGGACATCGTGCATGTTTGGGTCAAGATTTAGCACAATTCGAGCTGAAATTGATGATCATTAGACTAATGCAGCGTGGTGTATCATTTGAAGATACACCTGAAAATATTGGTGGATACAAACAACAGGTTACCTGCTGTCCAAGACATTTAGTTGTGCGTGTACGAATTGATCACCATTGACGTGTGATTAAGTAGACGAATATTGGTTTTAAAGTTTCATAATTTAACAAAAAACTAATATATTTCTGTGGGTGTGCGTGTGCGTGGGTCAGGGTGGATAATAGAAGGATTGATATTTTCACCCACACCTACATCCAACTAGCGAAGAAATAATCAAATGTTCCTGACTTTGATTTTGAAGTTACGGTCTTTCATTGTTACGAACTAGACCTTTCAGTAAGATTCACATGAATCTTTTTTCGTATTCAAGACAAGTGCACGACGATGGTGAGAGCACTGAGTGAGGGTGAAAGAGTTCGTTTTGCTTCTAAATCACTATTTCTCGCTCCGTGCGCAACTTTCGTATATTCGGTCAAGATCTGAAGGAGTTTCTTTCAGAGCTTTTTTCGGTGGAATTATGCTGATGTGAACTGATTGATTTTACTATAGCATTTCGTGAGGCATGAAATAAATTCCTCGCTTGTGGAGACTGTTCAGCCACACTTCGATTACGATTCGTAATTTATTTTTGTTTAAAATTCTTCTCGTCATAATCGTTTGTACTTAGATAATTTCTTTACGATGAGCATGTTTTAGTCGATTGAATGTGTCGATACATTGTTTGCAAATTTCTTCAATATGACGATGATCTGTTCCACAACATCCACCGAAGACATTCAAATTTTTCAGCTTGAATAATAGTGCTCGATTTTGCTCACCGAATTCGATTGGATTACCTGAATCAAGTTCTTTACATTCATTAAGCTCAGCATGACTCTTCATCGATGCATTGCCTCTCACACCATGAATCCTTGCTACCCACGATTCTTCAGGATTTAGGACATGTGCAAAACAAATTGGATGTGCGCAATTTATCATATAATAAGCGGGTCCATTTTGAGTAGCATTATCAACAAGTTCGATTGCTTCCTTTAACGTCTGTCCGTTCGGTAATCGACCATCAGTTTCAACCGTAAACGAGATCACCACGGGTATACCAAATGCTTTAGCAGCTCGAGTAATTCCAATTGCTTCTTCAGGGTAATTTATAGTCATAGCCGTTATGACATCTGTGTTCGTTTGACTAATAATACCGATTTGTGTTGCATGATATGCTTGAGCTTGTTCGGCCGACATGACCGCCGTTGGATTGTATCCATCCCCGCGCGGACCAATACATCCACTAATTATGATCGGAGACTTTTCCGTTTCATATTCATTGCGAATATCGTACAGAAATTCGATAGCCTGACGATTCACATTAACGATATCTTCATCAGAATATCCAAGTTTTCGCATCCAATCAGGATTGGCACGCCATGTTACACTTTGCAATATGAATCCAGTATGATATTTTCGAGCCATCCTCACATAGGTGCGTAAATAATTTTTCATCCATTCACGTTTGTCTTCGTCCTTGAATAGAATGAATGCGGCAAATTCTGGAAGTTCTATACCTTCATCAAAAATTAGAATTGTTTCTAGACCACCATCGGTTATAAAGAATGTATCGGCGAATTGTACCAAATTGTTTCTATATTTAGCCATATCAAAGAAAATTTGATGCTACACCTAAAAGAATTCTGTTGACGTCTATATAATTACCTTCAAATAAAGCAACATACACGCCATGCGCCAATATCTACCTAAAGGAAAAAATATTGACTTTGATAAAAAAAAGAAAAAGAAACTGAAGCATTTTGTCTCTTTCATTTTGAATGTAAGAACACCTTTTGTAAAACACGATTACGAACTTATCTCTTTGAAATCAAATAAACATCGTGAACTCTTATCGATTTCATAGTATTTTCGCTGCATGTGCAAACGCAACACGAATACGTGCTAATTTGAAACATTTGTGATACGTCTGACATACATTCAAAATTGATATCTCAGTGAAGATATGTGCTTATGTGAAGTGTCCTTTCTTGGATAATAGATAAACTTCAAATAGTGCATTTTGTTACTTATGTTGAGGGCTACCTCCAGTGAAAAAAATATTGATGGTTGATCTGACCATTCGTCGCTATTGGAAAGTACAGCTGTAGAATGGTTCAACCAAACGAAGTAATATTTCGATATGAAGTATCTTTTGTGTAATATCAAAGTGAAGTTCAACAATGCGTACGTATTATACACTAAAATAGAAATGTTCCTCTATTTGAACAACAAAACTAGCCTATTCGATTGAAACAAAAGGATATTCTCTAGCAAAATCAAAATCAAATCCGTTGACGATAAACATAGTGAAAGCATTTTCGTTACATCACTTGAATAATTGCTTTCTTTTGCTCAGAAGAAATCCAGTAAGCAATCGATGGATGGATGGCATAGTTCATAATCTGTCGACCGTTGTATTTCTTTTCACCTTGAAAGAAAATCAGCGCATTGTCAACACACAACAGCAATCCACGTGAAAAGAATGTTGTGTTTTAGTACGATTGCGTAAATCATAATCGATGTGATGGTGTGTTTCTGATTAATTCATGATAGGATGTGAGCGTACAGTGCCTCTTAGGAAGACATACCCACACCCGGCTAGAAGTCGTTGATTACATTCTCACGCTTATATGATTTTGAAGAACATCGTGTTTGTGTGTTGCACAGATTTTACTATTTCAAACAATGGTATAGAATTCATTTGGTGAATTCTAATGAGACATTTCTTACAACTAATTACAAAAGAAATAATACAAGGAATAAATTATTTGAAATACAGCACAAAATCAAGTTTAGGTTTTATTCAATCGTTATTATTTTGGGTGTGAGTGTGGGTGCGGGCGGCTCATCTGGGTATCAGAATTGTAACAACACCCACAGTCATACACCCACACCCGAGAATCTATTATGCTTAACTGCGAGTAATAGAATACAGTTGCAGTGATCGTCTAATCACTAAGGTTCAAACAATCGCGAACAAGATTGTAAAGATCCCTCCATCACTATGATTTTAATTGATGGACCAGTATTAGATAAAAATAACAATCATTGTTTAACTATTCATTGTGACTAGATTATTGTTCAATGCTGTATTAACGAGCGAATACTTCATCAATAAATTAGAGCTTTATTAGTGAGTGCGAACAGATAACTAGGATAAGTAAAAATCATAATCTTTGAATCATTTGATATAATTCGTTGTCTGAGTTCAAACTGCATCGATATGAGCATTTCTTTGTATATGCATTGATACCATTACTTAATTGTGAAAAACATTCTTCATAAATAAGAAGAGCATTTTCATTAGATATCATCGATTATTACGCGTATTAACATTGGGTCGATTCTCTCTCAAATGAAACTTTATCATTTTTATATTAATAATTAGAACGATGTTGAAAATAGCAGTACAAATTTTGATAGTTATTTTATTCAGGAGCTATTTTTACTTTTAAAAATATTTTATCTCATTATTGAAAGGATATGATTTTTGTTTATCATATTTTATGTTCACACTCATTAGTAAAACTCTAAGTTATTGATAGAGCACCTACTCCTTGATACACATTGAACAATAATCCATTCACAATAAATAGTTAAACAATGATCATTATTATTAACCAAACCAGTGGATTAATTCAAATTACAGTACTTTGATGACCCTTATAATTATTCTTCGCCATGCCTATTTGAATTATATAGATATCAGATAATCATGTAGACCATATACCCTTTATAGTCCTTTGTACTATAGGTACCATACCCATTTAGTCTGCGTTTCCAACAAGTACAAGTGACTTTCGATTTTCAGACCCCATCGTTTCAGCCTAGAGAATAGTTGAAACAGTAGTGAAGTAGAGCTCATCAAGTCAATCTGAACTCGGTGGAATCCGATCTGAATTCGGTATTGAAAATTTTCTTATTCGGGTCGATTATTAAAACTTTGTGTTGACTGAGTCCAAAAATTTTAGCTTCAACGGACTCTAGTTAAGAATAAGATCCAATTATATGTTGATTATTGTAAGACCATCGTGACTATTGCCTGAGGAATGTATTGGCTGGACTACTTGCCAATAATAATAAGCAAAAAAAGTATCTTGCATTTGGAGTACAACTATCCAATTAAGTTGTAAAAACTTCATTGAAAGTATCAAGACTGCTGTTCACGGATGAGATCGAGTCTGACAATTTTGGACTGAGATGGTTCTAGTCAGGAGTGGAAAGACAATTTTTACGAAGAGAAATTATTTACACAAAAAGACGAACTAACCTCAATCCTTAGCAATTAGATAATATTTTACTAGTGTAATACATGTAAAAGTATGAAAGATTTTTTAAAGAGCATGTGTTTTATTTTCTGTGTATAATACTATTTCATTTGAAACACCCACATTGCTTATTCACTCATTGTTCTACTGCTTTTTCTGTTGTTGATTCTACCTGTCCTGGGAATATAATAATGATATCTGTTATTTAAAAAATGACTAATGGTGTTTATCCTGCTTAATGTCCTGTCCTGTACTCACCTCTGTTACGATGACAACTCGAAGAAAATTCAGTTAGAAATTGGTCGATTATAAAAATTCATTCGACGAATCTTTTATAAATGCTTGATAATATTGAGTAAAAGATATTACTACTATCTTTTTACTATACCTTCAATATATCTTGGACATTCAATGCGATCCCTACAGTACCAAAACTGAAAACTATTTTTCAGAACGAATTGTCAATCCGACTGTCACTGGTCAATAGAGATACAAAAATCGATTTTCAGAGAAGATCTTTTAAACTGTCTTTTATTCCATTTATCTAAAGAGGAAGAGGAAGCTCTCCTAATTTGTCTAAAGCTTTATTTTAAGATATGCAAAGATACGAACGAAACATAATGATTTTATTCTTAGAACTCTTTAGAGAATGTCATCTGTAATCCTCTTTGTAAGTATCATTATCGTAAGATTAACTGTTAGTACAACATCACTAATAGTCGACATTTCTTTATATCTTAATTATGTCGTACATCGAAATACAAAATTTATACTTTCCAATTTATTGAACAAAAAAAAAACAAAATTTCATTTACAACGAAGGAAAGTAATGATACAAATCTTTCACCTGTATCAATCTGTTGAGCATAAGTTCTTTTATCTTCGTACAATTGCGTCGTGTTTCTTCTCTTGTAAAGTCTTTTGTGACAATTCTCAAATCTTTGTAATTAATTATTAATTGAGTTAGACATGGTACATACGCTTTTGTTTCATTTAGAAATTCTTCAATACAGTCAATATTTACATTCATCACGACAAGTAAAGTAAGATGAGGATATTTGGCGATTGAATATGATTGAGTATCGTCAGATGAACATGCGTTTATATTACACGACAACTGTAATTTAGAACTTGTAACATAAAGTTTATCCAGTAATGGAAAAGATCGGGAAATCCGAATAAAGAATTCATGATTGAATGGCATTACATCTACTACCCACAATTTCGTAACATATTTGAATACAATATCTGGAAATATGTTACCAATATCTTGAAGACGATCAAATACAAAAGGAAGTGAAAAGATAGAACATACAGCTTCACGATTACTACTATATTTTATGACATTAGCCATACATTGTTGGTGTCCACTGTTTGTAGCAATTCATTGAATATCTTGACTAGGTACATAACGAAATAAATCATCAGTATCATCATAAGTACTAATATAAAAAGTAAATGAATGAAGACGTGACATATAAAGAAGAATTTTATTTTGAAGATGAGAATTATGGATAAATCTACCTCGATTTTCTATATAAAGATATAAAGTTAATTTTTTCAGATATGTCATACGATGAAGAAGAGGTAGAATTTTCTCATCATAATTATTAATTCGACGATAACATGTGAATGAAAAACATTTCAAATTAGGTAAATCATCCTATACGATAAAAAAGAAGATTTATAAATATAAAAGTATATAGAATATGGTAGTCAACTTTATTTTCACGATTGATATTCTTTGTTAAAAATTACCATATTGTGAATGATTGATGAAGACTTGCTTCTGTCAGATATTCGAATAATAAATGTAGTTAATTGTTTGAGTCGACCATCAAGTAAATAAAAACGATCATCTAATGTGTGTACTTTGATACATAAATGGGTAAGAGTTGAAGAGAAAAAAATAGTTGATGGTGAATCACATAATGATAAAGGTGGATATAAAGGATTGAATGTTTCAATAATACTCAAATGTTTTAAATTATTGAAGAATTTCAAGATCTGTTCATATACATCTCTACTATAGTTTTCCAATAATCCACTCCCAAAGCGGTTGTCATTATTTGCAATAATAAGATTTGTAATTTTTTTCTTGAAAGATATATCGAAGAGATGATTCATCTAAATAAGAAATAATAAATCATTCAATAGTCTGTTCTATTTAACACCATTCTTCTACTATATTTCTTACTTGTAAAATAATTTAAAGCGACTTCTTGCGTGAAATTAATAAGTTTAAGTTCAGTTAGATTTCGATAATCAGCAGCAAGAAGAATACATTCCATTGAAATTGGCTCAAGAATAAAACATTTGATATTTTCGTGAATTTTTGGCAATATATCCTTGCAAAATCGATCAAGTTTCTCTTGATCAATTGCAGAAACATTATCAATGGATACAAAATTGAGAGTATCACTGAAGATTTTTTCTTGTGCTAGACTGTTCAAATGTTCATTATTAACGTCGATCAATGAATAAAGAACATCAATATTGTTCAGTTTTTTCAAAATAATAAGTAATATCGCGTCAGGTAAATCCAATAGATTAACATTCGATCGGCTCATATTTTATTGTGACTATGACCCTTCTCAAAAATGAAGGTATATATATTTATATTCATTGTTTGTTTATAACAGGTTTCATCATTGTGGAATAGAATAGATAGATGAACTCGTTGAAAAAATCAAAGGTCAATGATATCATCCAATTGAAACATCGTCAACGAATGATATAGTCTCTTACGTGACGTTACAATAACATTGAAATATGCATTAGGCCTCAAACAGACTATAGAATGACGAATTGACTTAAATTGAATTAAGTGATATGATTGGTGGATTAATATTTAAATCACCTGTAAAAGATGGCTTAAATGTTGATGCACCAATCATATCGCTTAAATTCAGCTTAAGTCAATTCATCATTGTCTAGTCTAGTTGAGGCCTAAAATAGAATTTATATTGAGACAAAAGACTAATTGAATCAATTGGACAATCATTAGAAAGCTAACGATTGGTGTTGCTTCAATCGTTCTTTTAAAATCATATGATAATTAGGGATGCGGGTGTGTGGGCGTGGGTGTGGGTATTGGGAGATGTACCCACAGATACACTCTTAAGATACAGCTAGGCATGGTTATCTTTGACTTGTCAGTCATCTCTTAGGTGTGGGTGGATGCTAGTGTGATTATCTCCGTATACCCTCACGCACATCCATGTCCTTGAGAATGATGCGGGTATTTGTTCGTGTGCAAGACGTTGGCAGAGATGCTGTCGCTATGAAGTGCAAAATTCTTGTTATGCCTGCGGAGCAAATTGACAAGACACACACACTAAAGCCATCATCTTTGAAAGTAATCTTGATAAACTAGTGCTCGAAATGGGCCACTCTTTTCGCCTGACCTGACCCAAAATGGCCCGAAAGTTTTGAGTGCCCGCTCGGCCAGACTCGGATCCAAAATTTTTAAAAAATATATTCTCCAAATCTGATTTTAACGATCAGCACCGAACTTCAAAAAAAATTGTATTTAGTGCGCCATTGACTTATCCATGGTTCTCGATTGTTTTCAAAAATGGAAAGGGCTAAAAATTTGGCAGAACGTCCAAGTCTTCGACTTTTGAAGATATTTTGATGAAAGTGTTTTTATTCGATTTTCTGTCGAAAAATTCCGAATAGTACCGAAAAAGCTACTGTTTTACACAATTTAGCCTGATGTTTTCGAAAATATGAGAGGTATTTGCAGAAAATCAGACACACTTTTTAGTTTTTTAGAGGATGGGGCTAGAGAATCCCTCAGCTTTCACCTATTATGAAAGCCTAGATTTATTGGTAACTCTTTGATGACATTACATGACTGAGATGAAAGCACAAAACGAAACTAACAAGTATCGTGAAAACAAATCAGACGTTGAGCACATAAAAAAAATACATGAATACAATATGAAAAAATGTAGCATTAAGACGAGAAGAGATTAGCATTGCTCATTAATTATTTTAATTAGTACGAAACGAGCAAAAGGAACATTTTCCACCATTATTGTTGATTAAGTGTAAGAGAAACCAAAATCAAATTTAAAAAAAATAAAACATGGTACGTGTCGAAAAAGGCATTTATTCACTATACTTTTCTATAATTCCTCAATAGAAGTAATTATGATTATACTTCTCAATCATTTCTACCTCTGGTGACATCCATAGCATTTTACAAGAGACAAATAATTGAATTTTGTTGAGCAGTGTGGCCTGCTTCGAACCCTGAGCTAAACTTCTTCGTCAATATGCAAAATAATCTTTGACGATTTAGAATTTACTGTGTCTTTCTTCTACACGTGTGCATCTTATCATTAAAATTGATAATCGGCGAAAAAGAAAAGAAAGTCTTCTCATGGTAGCCAATTACATACTACAGTAGAAAAAGAATGCCAACGAGTTCGCAACACTCATCAGCACTTTCATCTCTGACTGGTGAGATTTTATTTGTCTCAATTTCTACAAACTTATTGCAACAAACTCGTGTTGCTTTTCTAGCAGCTGAATCGGCACTACGAAGTTTAGATCGTTATTCTTTGGAGGCGATATATTCGTTTGTAAGCCTACCGAATGCTTTTAATGTCGGTATTTGAAGCCTTTGACGTTCTGCTTGAGCCATCAAACGAAACCTGGAGTATGGCATATGTGAAAAGATTCAATCATATGAATTTAGGATCACTGGTTCAGCCATTACTCAGTTTCGACAAGCATTGCATAATGGATGAACAACTGACTCGAATCAACATAATTCTGGCGTGAGATGAATGCATGACGAAGTCAATACTAAAAATCTCAAATGTATGCTATGTTATTTTTTGTGGGTGAAAGCAATCGTCGAATATTCAAATAAACGAGAGCAAGCACATCAATCAGATTAATTAAACCGAAATATAATCATTTTCTATTAGATGGATGCACCTATTATAGAACAAAGCTGTGCTCTTACGTGAATAAAGAATTTTCAATTTAAAAATAGTTTCTCTTATATCAAACAATGAATTTTTTTGAGTAAATGGATAAGATCAGTATCGGGTTTCTATTTAAAATTTGAAAGGAAGAATATTATTGAGATTTTCGTTCTATTTCTTGTTGGATATTGTTTGTTGGACATGTGTTGATAAGCCTGGATTGAGACTAAAAGCATAAGACAACAGGCTTGTATACATATCTTAAAAATCAACCATCATTTTGATGAACGTTGTATCGTTGTGTACGTAGGGATTGCATTCCTGTTGAGTCTGAGGTTATTCATTGAAAACTGCTCGGTATTATATCTGGTAGAAATAAATTGATAATATATTGTGAAAGTGTTTGATGAGCGCCAAATGTGTATGACGAGCATTCATTTTATCACCATATGAAGACGAAAAAAATGGTGATCAATCAATTCATATCTGTTCTTCGTTCCTTGTGTTAAATTAATATTCGTACTAGTGTCACTCATTCGTCTATGGCCTGAAGAAAAATCAAGAAATAAGCAAAACATTTTTCTTCCACTGCAATAAAGTCATTTGCGTTTCTCCACTCTACTCATATTTTCTTTTCCTCTCGTCGATTCCTACGAACGCCGTCGACTTTTGTTCGTTCTTCTCTTAGGTTATTTTTCATATTAGTCTACGTTGTTTTTTTCTTTATATTTGTTGTCGACGCGCTTACCACGTGCAAAACCATCTCAAGGGTAGTGATATATACTTTTCTTTAACTAAATGATGTTGACTTACATAAAAGAGATATTCATGTAAACTGTACTTTATTTTTAAGACAAGATGAAGTGTCTGATTAAAACTGTCTTTTGGTTATTACCGATGTTCGTTGGATTCATCGCTATTGGATTGGGTTATTTGAAGGTTAATGATACTACTAGACAGAAATGTAAGTATCAATAAAATCTTATTGTAAATAACTTAATTATTAATAGCAGTGCAAACTACAAATCAGGACTTATGATAAGTGATGAGCATATCCCAAGTTTGCAAGGATCTTTATTTTCGTGTCTTTCATTGTAATAGGTATACGTCAAATCATCGATGATAAAGATTTTTAAAAATCTTCCGTACTAGATAGTGTGAGTCGCTGCAAGCTGCATTAACATTATTTATTATTAAGTCGTATTACGTAAACATTTTATCTATTCCAAATAAATAATTTAGCATAAGTTTTTAGTTTGCCCCTCAGTTCTCATTTAGTTTTATTGAACATGAAAATTATTTGATGTTATTCTGCTGCAAACTTGTTCCTTTGCAACATAAAATTTAAACCAGAAAAATTTGGAGTAATTTTGAAAAAAAAGTGGACTAATTTATTTTACTTTATTTTCTAGTTTTTGCTGGAACTATGAATGCTTTGTCCAACGAAAACGACACAGCTATTACGAATATTCGATGCAATCAAGTTCTTAATCATGCATCTGTTCATGGTCATGTTTTAGAAATTGGCAGTGGTACTGGAATTAATTTTGTATGTTTACATAACAATACACGTATTAAAGACTATATCGGTATTGAGCCTAATATTCACATGCATAGTTATATGCAAGAAACTATAAATCGTTGGCAAATTCAATTTCCAGTACGAATATCTGGTATTTCAGCTGCTGCCATGATTGATATCAAATCGGATAGTATCGATACAATTATTATGACTTTTGTTCTCTGTAGTGTTCCTGATCCATTTGTTAAACAAATACTTCTCGAAGCATATCGTGTTTTAAAACCAGGCGGACAATTTCATTTAATCGAACATGTCTTATCGGATCCTAATATAAAACCAATGACGAATTCATTTCAAAAACTAATCGAACCCATATGGACAATACTTGGTGATGGATGTCGTTTCAAACCCATTGTGAACTATTTAGATGAAATGAAGACTATTTATTCGAATGTTGAGTATGAAAATATCGAACTACCGATCCCATTTTATATTATTAAAGATGGTTTAAAAGCTGTACTTACAAAATAAATCAATTTATATACAATTAACTTTTTTCTCGACAAAATTGCAGTACAGAACATACTAAATCATGTTGACACGAAATATATGGTGGTAATATAAAACGCTAAAAATTTGTAAAGAATTCAAACTATCGACGATAATATGTTAGTGCCAGTGATTGTTGAACAATCCGTTCATATGTATAGAGACAGCAATAAGCATCATCTCAACCTTCTACAAATATTAAAATCTACACTGTAAGATTGTACTTTTGCTGAACTTAAATTCCATAAAGAAATACGTCTATCATTATCAATTCTTTGATGAAGATATGATATCGATCTGAAGTTATCTTTTGATAACAATGGAAAAAAGTAAGGAGTCAGTTATAATGGCCCCATTTTGTATATGAGTTTTCCGTCGTTTGATACATTGTATTAACAAAACAAATTACATCAGAAGATGCAGCGTGAAAAGCTTATTTTTATTGTACACTTTTTGCTCTGCGAGAAAAAGTCAAATTTTATGCGACGAATTTTTGTACGATCGAACTTTGGTCGATAAGGATTTCGCACATTTTGAAAGTAAAACGTGTAACTGTGAAATAAATCAGTCAACGTAAATTGTAGAGCTTTTCACATTGCATCTTTTAGTAGACTAAGATGTATCAAGAGACTGAACACTGATATACAAAACGTGGTGATTATACTTGCTCTATCTGTTAATTCTGACAAAAATTTAGTTGATATTTATGTTGCTACATAATTCTCCCCACATTGATGATTAAAAACGAATATGACATGAGATAATCGATGTGTGAGATGAACGCTTTTGAGATTTAACTAATAAAAGATACGAAGACTTCGTATTGTGAGAATTCTCGAAATTTCTTCATGTTTTCCAGGTGTGGGTGTGGCTGGGGTGTAAGTGTGGGTGTGGGTGTGGCTGGG